TATAACATATTTGTCTTTAACAAAATTGGTACAGAATTGGTATAGAATTAATTAGCAAAATTGTCTCTATAATGGATAATATTTAATATAACTTACATATTTAATATAACTTAATCTTTACCTTACAATTTCTTGGAGAGCCTATCAATATTTGACTTTTTTTCAACACAAATCTTCAGTTCACACGGTACAATTGCATGATGTGAATGGAACCGTCTTCGCCACATCCTTTGTTTTCGCATAAAACAATACAACTTTTACTTCATGCTCAACATTTTAAGTCAACACATGGTGGAATCAAAATTCTAATTTCACAATAAGTTAACAGTCCGTTATCTGCTATCTTATAAACTGGTATGTGCGCCTTTACCTCCGTCCAATTCCTATTCGTGATGCTATAGCTAACAAAATTTCCACAAAGTGCGGAACGGAATTTATCTACATAGTTAAAAAACTTGATATTTCGCAAATCTAATTTTAATGAAATAATTAAATAGTATGACATTTTGTGCGCCAATCTGTACATACATACACATATAATATTTACATACTTATAGATGCTCTCATTTCATAGTGTAAAAATGGCATTTGACAAAGAAACTGTGCTACAAAGGAAAGATAAGTATTGTGTACATTTTTATTTTTCCTTCTAATTGTAAGATAATGATAATTTTCATATTTTGTGGTTTACTTGTAACATTTTGATTCCTCTTAGATAATGTATTCTGTATTGATTTATAATATATTTGATGGCATCGCGTGAATGTTATAAACACATTTTTTTGAAACTGCCTTTATTTTTAATAGAGATGGATACCACAAGCAAATTATTTGTAAATGGTGATCATTTCTCAATTTGTTGAAAATAATTAATGATTGACTGAAAAGAGATAGCTATAATTAAAGATAGCTTTTGAGTATCTAAACACAGTTTCTCTGCCAAATAAAATAAATACAGATCTTACAGAAAAAATTACAAATGCCAGATATACAGCACTGTATATTAATCATTAATATATTATTTTCAAAGTTTTTCTCAACACATTGTTATAAAAATTGTCATTTTTAAAAGAAGAGAAATGGTCACTCTCGATACATAGTATGTGTATGTTCGTAGTCGAAGAAAATTTTTGCTATGTATTTATATATAAGGCGTTAAAAATATTAATAACTGTAACAATGTCATTATAAATAAAATTTATGTTAAGTGAAAAAGGTTTGACAAATTGATTCCTTTTAACGGATAGAAGGACTCTTCTTATACAAAATAAATAACAATAAATAAAGGGAAAAAAAAGAATCAAACACATTTTGTAAATTGTTACATAATTAAAAAGAATAAATTACAAATAAAGAAAAGTAAAATTGAAAAAATATAAAAAACTCGGTTTAAATTCAAATAAATTCAAGTAAATTACAAGTTTCGGCTACCGGATTGAGTCCTCTTCAGACATTAACTTATCATAAAATTCGCTGTACAAAATTAATTATCGAAAATGTTCGCATATTCACTATAAACACAGTTCGGGTCTTGATGTAGAACTCGACATTATTCACATACGATTGAACAGCCAAATGTGTTTCATATCTCTTGGAAAAAGTTCTAATTGATAAAAAAAGAGAAAAAGACTTCTCACGAAAAAATAAACACAACCAAAATACCGGAATTCTAACAAGTAATTAAAACTCACCAGAAATCAAATTATTCAAACAAGTGTGTCCATGTAAATATGAAAACTTATCAGAATATATAAAATAGTGGAACGCAGATGTGTAAGACGGACATTGTGTATCGATTATAATGTATGTTCGCTGATACGGATCAAACGGACTGAGAGAAGAGACGGACTGTCAGTATCGAAAAGTCAAACTTTATTTACTTTATAGCGGACTACCTATCGATGAAACAAAAAACTTACGACAGCTCTAAGGTCTATGCTCACTGGATGGAAAACTAAAAATTATATCACGGACTCTAAATATAAAATGTTATATTGCAGTGACGAACTACTTCCGAGAGTCTATGGATTGCTGAAGATTCACAAACCGGTTGCCCTCTCAGAATTATTGTTTCATCGATAGGCAGTCCGCTACTATGTATTAACTACATATATTTGCACAATATATTTCAGACTATTCCTAAGGCGGATAGTTAAAATAAAAATAGCTAAAATATTAAAAATAGCTTTCAATTAGTTGATAAATTAAAAAGATTATACATTACAGATGAATATAAATTAATTTCCTTGGACGTTATCTCACTTTTTACGAATGTTCCAATGGATATAGCGGTTGATTTTAGCAGTGAATGAGCAATCGAGTTTCATTTCGAAGAAATGCTCTCTGCCTAAGAATGAGTTTCTGGGAGCGATACGGTTTGTTTTAGATTCTACCTTTTTATCATTTGACAATAAAATTTATAAGCAAAGCTTCGGCACTCCCATTGGCTCTCCTTTATCACCTGTAATAGCGGACCTAATAGCGGAGTAATGAGGAGATTAGAGATGTCCCTGATGTCGTTGAATGTGGACATTTTATTTTACCATAGATATGTGGATGACATTTGTATTGCAGTTTCTCCCTCAAAAATTAATATTTTACTACAACGTTTTAATTCATTTCATCCACGTCTTCAATTTACTGTAGAAATAGGAGGAGAAAAATTAGATTATTTGGATGCTACTATATCTATTAGTAAGAATCAATTCGTTTTTTATTGGTACCGCAAACTTACTTTCTTAGGGAGATTTTTACATTTCCACTCAAATCATTCAATTGCACAAAAGAAAGGTACAATTTTTTCGCTAGTTTACAGAGCTTTTTTACTTTCCGATTTTATGTTTCACACAAAAAATTTGACATTTATTATTAACGTTTTATTAGATAATGACTACCCATTAATTTTTATTTTTGACACAGTTAATCAACGTATAAAAAATTTACTTAAAAAGAAACACATAGCACTTAAAGATTTGGTTGACAATGTCTGTATAAATGAATCTGCATTTTGGCTTACGGTACCATTTATTCCTTTTCATACAGAAAAGTTTAAACGGTTCAATAAAAACGACATCAGGATATCTTTTCATAGTCCTAATAAAATGGGTAAATATATTAAAGTACAAAAGGATATTTGTCCACATACATCTAAGAGCAATATAGTTTACAAGATTTCGTGTAAAATTGTGATGCGTCGTAAGTTGGACAGACGGGCAGACAATTGAAAATCAGAATTACAGAACATTATAATCATATTAGATATAACACACTTTTGTCCGTTGTCATAACGTAGTACAGGCTGCAGTATGATCATGATTTCCAATGGGACAATGTTAAAATTTTGGATGAAGAGCCTTGCTACAAGAAACGCTTAATTTCTGAAATGCTCAATATTAAAAAGCAGAAAAATAGTTTAAATTTACAAACTGACACTGAAGATCTTCACAAGGTATATATACTTATTGTAAATAAAGTTTGACTTTTCGATACTGACAGTCCGTCTCTTCTCTCAGTCCGTGTTGATCCGTATCAGCAAGCGTACATTATAATTGATATACAATGTCCGTCTTACACAGCGTGTAAGACTAAAACGTGTTCCACTAAACTTTATATATTGATAACTTTATATTCTGATGAATTTTCATACTTACATGGACACACTTATTTGAATAATTTGATTTTTGGTTTTTGGATTTTGAGTTTTAATTACTTGTTAGAATTCCGGTATGTTATTTTGGTTGTGTTTATTTTTTCATAAGTCTTTTTCTCTTTTTGATATCAACTAGAACTTCTTCCAAGAGATATGAAACACATTTGGCTGTTCAATCGTATGTGAATAATGTCGAGTTCTACATCAAGATCCGAGCTGTGTTTATAGTAAATATGCGAACATTTTCGATAATTAATTTTGTACAACGATTTTTATGATAAGTTAATGTCTGAAGAGGGCTCAATCCGGTAGCCGAAACTTGTAATTTACTTAAATTTATTTGAATTTAAACCGAGTTTTTTTATTATATTTTTTCAATTTTACTTTTCTTTATTTATAATTTATTCTTTTTAATTGTGTGACAATCTGTGTGTTTGATTCTTACTTTGCCCTTTATTTTTTGTTATTTAAATAAATTCCTATTTAATTTTTATTATGTTTATTAATTAACAATGTTTGTGCAGAAACACTACTAATTGCACAGAATTATTCTTTAATAAAAAAATAATTCAAAAAGAATTATTTTCTCTAAAGGAAATATTCTTAAATAAAGCTTATTCAATCAGTGCCTGTTTTTATGGATATATGCGCATAACAAAAACATCGATATATTACAATAATAATATAAATATATATTATAATTTATTTATTTATTAACAATATTATTCAACATAAAATATTCATTTCACTATAAAGTTGTTAAAAATACTGTATTATATAATTTATTTGTTTTGCTGCAACTGTATGCCTTTTTCTTAATCAATTCATAAATAATTTGAAAATTTATAAGCAAATAGCTTAACATAGCTATAGCTAAACATCAAATTACATTATGAACTACCAAAAAAAGATAATATATTAAACATCAAATTCAAAGTTTTTCTATTATATTTATAAATAAATTTATAAATAAATGATATAATACAAAAAAAGATAAAAGTTAAAGACTTCTTAAAAGTTTAATTCAATCACCTTTATAATTCTTTTTTAATTTTGATTAAAAAATTTTTTTATTTTACTATATAATTTATTCCTTTAACCTTAATCTACACAACAATTTTTCATAATAATTCGTAATTGTAAGAATAAAAAAATTATTTAACGAATGTGAAAATAGATATACAGTGCTTACAATGCTTGCTCTACAAAGTGAAACAGTATCTACAATATGATAATATAATATTTACATTAAATAGCAAAATAACGTAATTATGATAAATAGGCAAATGCTACTATTTATATAAATTGTATTATTTATTTAATAAATGTTATTAAGATACTTATTTCCCTGACATTTGTATGATACAAATATTTTTGAATTATTTAATTATTTGTCTAACTGCGAAGACTTTGCAATCGGGTTTTCATCTCTTCAAGTTCTTTGTCATCATCTTCTGTTTCTTCTTCTGCAGAGGTAGAAGCAATTCCAGGATTTTCTGTGACAACTGCAGGAGCTGTACCGAGCTGACCAGCTGTGACTTCCCATAAAATCTAAAAAAGAATATAAAAGACTACATTTAATATAGCTCTTACATTTTAATATAGCTCTTATATTAAAATGTGATTATTTATGTATGTATATTAATAAAAAATTCTAAAAATGATTAATTTGTCAAGTAGCTTTAATTCATAAAATATGCAATAAAATAAAAAGCATTCTATTACCATGTTATTAATCAATGATTTACCTTATCAACTTCTTCATCAGCTTCGTCCTCCATATCTTCAGAATCCTCAATAGAATCCATTGTCTCGTCTAACATTTCCTCAATAATACCTGCCTTCATCATCTCTTTTGACAATTCTCTCATAGTCGCAGCTACTTCTGGTACTCTTACTAAAGATTGCATTGCTTGCATCACTTCTGTGGATTTAGAAACTGAACCAGCAACTCTGATTGTTGCTAACTGATTTTTCATTTGTAATGATACAGAATTTAAGTGTGCCTTAGAAGTATAAATCTTATTGCAAGCTTTGCGAGCCCTTATAATCTCTTTTGCAAGGATTTTGCATACATCTTTATCTCCTTTTTTTGCTGCTTCTTTTAAGGAACGTTTAACTTTTTCTTCTTCTCTTTGAATCGCTATACAAAAAAGATTGATTATATTAATATCAAAATGAGTATTTTTTGTTAATATAAAATTAAAAAATACGTAAAAGATTAGATTAATTTTAAATATTCTACATTTTATGAAAATACTAAAACTTTTACTAAAATTATATTTTTCCTAGATTTTATTGAAAATAAAGATTTCAACATTTTCTTATCTTATATATAATCTAATGGTAATGCTTGTTAATTCAACAATTGTTTGTTTGTTTGGGTTTCCAATGTAAAGATTAAGATTGTTACTGATTAATTGTGATTATATTTTTCAATTTTAAAGACTTCTTGAAAAATTTCTTTACATATCTTACCTCTAACCTGCCTATCAAGTTGATAACCTTCTTTTCTCAATTTATGAGTCCACTCTTGAACCTATATAATATGATCAATTAATATGTGAGAGCAAAAAGGAATATTTTAAAGAAACTCACCATTTCTTTAGGGTTTTTTTCCTGTGATTTTCCAAATAAACCCATGACTCGATAATCGTGTTTATCGAAACGTCAAAGCATTCAACGACATAATCTTCATACTTTACTCACTGCAGAATTTTCAAGGTTAGGTTGTCAGAATGTAGCGCCTTTATATGCAAGGAACGTGCACATTAAACTACGTAGCCACAGACGATATTTCCGGCGGATAACACATCCACTCTCTTTAATTTTTGCAATTTGTTATAAATTTGGTATTACATATGCAGAGAACTACTGCA